TAGCTCCTTCACCACCGCCGAGGTCCCAAGCTGCGTTGTCGGCCCTTCCAAAGCGGACTGCGTACGCATAGGTACCAAAGTGGTACCCATTCGTAACACAAAAAAGTAGCCTCACCTCGGTGAACTTCTGGAGGAATTTGATGGCCGAGAGTTGGGTCTAGGAAATATAATCATGCGTGCTTGCGGTGCGGCTCATTTTATTTTGATATGGTGCATTGGCGAGCAAGCACTCGAGCTCCCATGCAGCGTCAGTCCTAGAAAGCAGTATCCATATTTGGATGCCACAAATTGCACACTCATCGCAATACCAAGCGTGGGGAAGCGCAAAGCGAAGATAGACGAAAATGAAAGAGAAGGAAAGGCAGCGGGGTGGAAGAAATACAGGGACGTTAAACAGACAAACTTCCTGTTTGCTTCCCTGCTCTTGGTGAATGAAATAAAACGAAAAGAACTGATCAATCTGAACCTTAGCCATGCTGTCTGTAGCAACGCAGCACAACTGCATTAGCTTATATACGGCGACGTGCGTCGACTAATTAGCTCACTCTGCGTCAAGCTTCGTCGACCAAGCGAGATACATTTCAGGCCTCTATTTCTGTGCGCTTGAATAATTAAGAGGCGTCGTATGTGTGTCTGCTACCGCCAGAAAGAGTCGAATATCGCTTGGATTGGCTATGTCTCTGAAATACAAGGAGAACTTTCATTGAAAAAGAAAACTGTGTAGCGAGTGCTGCAAAATTTTGTGGATGGTCGCAGATAGAAAACTGAACGTGCCACTGAAAAAACAATAATTTGTCTTTCTTGGCTTTCTGTTACTTTTATTATTCAAGCCAGATTTGTGTTGTCCATCACTCTGTTAGTACCTTATGGAATCATGATCCCGCTGCAATATATACTAAAAGGTAACTCATAAAGTGCACTACTGCTCTTGCCTCACGACAGAGCTATGAAATAATGCAATAAGTAATTGAATTAAGTGCGTGCTTTAAACGTCCCGAAATTACATCACGTGCTGTGGGATGGATGCCATTGTCAGAATTTATTTAAATAACGTTAGGTTGGTTCACGTGAACTCAAACCTTGATTAATGTGATTGATATGTGGGGTTTAACGTCCCAAAACCACCATATGATTATGAGAGACGCCGTAGTGGAGGGCTCCGAAAATTTCGACCTCCTAGGGTTCTCTAATGTGCACCCAAATCTGAGAACACGGGCCTACAACATCTCCACCTGCATTGAAAATGCAGCCGCCGCAGCCGGGATTCGATCCCGCGACCTGCGGGTCAGCAGCGGAGTACCTTAGCCTCTAGACCACCGCGGCGGGGCGAACTCAAACCTTAGAACTTACATATTATCACCTTCAATGCATGTATTAGACTTCTACCTCGTTTGCGAGAAATGAAATCCTATAAGTAGTCCCTGCCGGCAGAATAACAAAACCACTCAGCTGTTGCAAAACGTAATTGTGTTGAACTTTATATAAGAAAAGGTTCGTTCTTTACCGTGTGGCATAGAGACACACTACAGGTATCGTCTTGTTGATGAAAAATACTTTGTTCTCCGCACAACCGCCTCTACCAAGGATGTAAAGCACCTCATACACTACCCCTCATTGCCGAACAGCACACATAATCGGCTAATCGGTTTTGTATAACGCTATGGTATGGCCTGCCGCGACTAATAGCATGCTACTTCCCCTGCGACTTTGAAAACCGAGCTGCACGTGAGACCAATGATGCGCAAGTTTCCGAGTTACACAGGTTCTCGGTCGGAGGGAGGGGGAAAGAAAGAGACACTATCACAAGAAGAGGTAACCATGCACGCCGCAGCAGTTGTAGGTGGCACTGTTAAATCTTCTTCCTCAGTATCTGTTAGCACGTGCGTAATTAACGTGTCATTTCATTTAAACGGCGTGATGGTACGAAAACAGTTGTACGCAGGTCTGGAAGTTGGGACAACTGTAAACACGTTTGGGCCAGTAGAACTTAAGACCAACCTTATATTTTAATAGCTGGGTATTCTTAGTAGAATATATAAGTAGATTCAAATACAATGCATGAAATGGTACGCTTTAGCGTGATACTGCCGCTAAAGAGTGGCTGCCACCATGACGCTCGTCCAGCATTAACTGCGTAATATAATGTGAAGTTGCAAGAACGCGTGCATTGTAGTATCAGATATATATATTACAAAGAGGGTTTTCTTACGGTGAAAATTTCGTAAACGTAGGTGCCACACGGCATTAGAGAATTAGCCGGCCAATAAACAACAGCACTTCAGAACATATAGTTTCACCAATCCAATCCCTGGCGAAGACAAAAACGCATGATCCACAGTGCCATAAGAACAGCCTGTTAATACTGCGTAATGGCCACTAGGAAATTACTATTACCCACCGTCATATTATTCCGATTATGTGGTTGTGTTATTTCTTCGCCTACAAAGTGCAGTGCTTATGAGGTTCTGCCGGCAAGCGCCTATTCTGGGCGAAATGTTTTGTAGCATTGAGCCCATGTTGAAGGATTCCTCTCCGGAGGCAAATAAGAGGGAGTGGTATCCTACTCCCATTCATAACACGCTCTATGGACGCTATCACTTCTTCGTCATTTAATTAATAATAAACGTTGAGACCAGCAGGGTATTGCGTTTATCGGCTACATCCTGTTACCTCCACTTGCGTTGTCGGAAGCGCCCTGAACGAAGTAAAATCTGTTGGACAGCGTATTATATAGTCGAGAGTAAGGGCGCACGACAGGCGCAGTTATGACTGAACCAAATGAAAAAAAAAACCAAGGCGAAGATTGTGGGAATACACTATGCGCATGGTCTGTCAGAATGTATAAAAAAATATCGCCACGCGAGCACTATACGTACAAAAATGGTTAACCAGCGAAAGCTGAAACATGCAGCTCCGGTGTTTTGCAGTGAGTTCAACCTGATGCTGCACTAGAAACGTCTCACACTTATTGTTTACATTTTGGTGTTTCTTAAAGAGGTTAATTGCACGTTTGTATTGGGTTTACCACAGTGTTTATTTCCCATGTCGTACATTGTGCCTCACACGATAACAGTCATAGAGGGGTGTAATAAGCGGTTAAATGCGTTTCGCAACGCGTTAATCACAGTGGCTGTTCTCGAACCACAGACGGTCGCAGACGTCGCAGCCGAAGCCTAAGTGCCGCTGGAGAAACTCCCGGCGAACTCGCTCCCGCAATCATCACGTCGACCGTGTTGTGCCATCGCGAACGTTTGACATCGCGAGTTATAACTCGGTGGCGTGGTTTGCAGGGTCCGCCTGCCACCGGCGTTTGCATTGCCGTTCGCAATTTATCGCATCTTTGAAGGCTGCCAAATCATCGGATCGCAGTTCCTGCCAGCACTCGGCGTCACTAGCATGTTTTTGTGCCCGGACTCCACCATCGGCCCGGCGAATGCCAACTCTCAGACGTTTCCACTGTCAGCGCTCTTCTAGAGTTTTCCGTGGCTTACCCATAGTGGAGCGGACTTTCGTTTCTCCTAGCCATATACAGCTTTCGCTGTGGAAAGGGGGGCTCCCGGCAAGAGGTCAAAGTGGTTTTTTTCCTGCAGAACATTAAGTGCGTGGTGTGTGCCAGTCGGTGTACAGCCGAGCTGAGTTGAACCCTAGGTCATGATCTGTGTGCATCATTGAGCACATCTACAAACATGTTGCTTGTGCCTCAGATGTCATGTACAGCATCGCCCCGCCGCGGTAGTCTATAGTGGCTAAGGTACTCGGCTGCTGACCCACAGGTCGCGGAATCGAATCCCGGCTGCGGCGGCTGCATTTCCGATGGAGGCGGAAATCTTATAGGCCCGTGTGCTTAGATTTGGGTGCACGTTTTAAAGAACCCCCGGTGGTCGAAATTTCCGGAGCCCTCCACTACGGCGTCTCTCATAATCATATGGTTGTTCTGGGACGTTAAACGCCACATATTAATCAAATAATGTACAGCAGCGCACTATCGTGTGGCCTTATTTATGCTGGCCAGACGGGCAGAGGTCTCAATCTGCACCTCATTGAGTGTGGAAACGCAGTTAAAGGTCCTGCTTTTTTAAACACTTAGGCATGCATCTCGGAGACTGCCGATCCATCGCGGATTTTACGGGTCTCGTGGTTTTGTTCTGTTATTCGGACAAGATTACACAGAAAATTTGCGGGGCTTTCCATATTAAAAAGGAAGGTCATACGTGTGTGAGTGAGACGTCACTTGCACTAATAGATACAGAGGTATCCCTTTTGGACCACACCACATAGCACCTTGCTGTATTCCACAAGTATGTTTTAATACCACGTCACGTTGTCAGGATACTTAATAGGCAATGTGAGACGTGTGTCTATAAATTATGTTCTTTCTGCGTATTGACGCATGCGTGGTAGGCTACGTCATTTTTTTCCGTTTTCTTCATTAAATTTAATTTGAAATTAAGTGCTTGTGTAGTGTTTTCTCTTTGTCTATTTGTGCGCGCCTGCCACCGGTAACAAAGAATTTGTAGCAACTCGCCCAGTTTTCTGCTTTGTTGTGTCCTAGGAAACTACTCGTGGCATACATCCTTCATTATATGGATAAATCGAGATCTTGCTCCCAAATGATGTCCCGTGATTCAGCGTGCCGGTTATGAAAAAGCGCTCGCAAAAAAATGAGAAACGTCAGGAGAGTATATCACACTCGCTCGTTCCATTTTCAGAGGTTGTTTAGGGTCCTTTAAATGTACCGATCATGTGAATATGATACTTATGGTATCTTCAACAAATCGCACCAGCGTGTAACGTGCCACCCGAGAACCTCTGTATATTATTGCGCAAATCGGCACACCATGATGCCCCCACACGCAGCAGTGCGATTTCATCGTAATGACAGGGGTCTGGAATCCTCTATTATAACGTTTTTTTTTTTTGAAACCCATTTTGTTCATTTGGAACACTGTGTCTCACTCAGCACACACCTATACAAGCTGCCGTTTTTTTTGCCATTTCAGCGCCACCACTGTTCTTCAAGGAGGAGCCTCCCGGCTGGGTTCCCTTCTTGAACAGCACGGGCGCCGTCGTGCCGTGCTCGGCGGGTGGTTCTCCGCCTCCCACGGTCACATGGCGCAAAGCGGACAGCGGCGCACCCGTCACCGAGCTGCCCGGCCTGCGGCAGCTGCGGCCCGATGGCTCACTGGTGTTCCCGCCCTTCGGCGTTGACCAGTACCGACCCGACGTACATGCTACCAGCTACCGCTGCGAGGCATCCAACAGTTTCGGCATCATCGGCAGCAGGGACGTTCGCGTCACAGCCGGTACGTGACTCTTATCACTACCCTTTTGCCCCGAAAGAGGGCATAAACGAAGAAGGTTCAACGATATATATCGTTAGTTATTTCGAAGAAACAGCGTACTTGACAGAAAATACAGTCTACAAAAAAAAAAAACTATCTTATACCATGCGTCATAAGTTTCGGCTGCCAAGTTGGCTTATTTGTCCAGCTGGTGGCTCATGCTGGATAATATCAACTGTTCGCACTGTCACAGTAGCAGCACATATGCCTCGTTCAATATCAATTCGGCAAGCTACGCCTGTAGAGAGGCGCGCGTGCACCAGCGAACGTCTTGAAGAACTACATTATTGTAACAAGTTTGGAATAACGCCCACGAGCTCGATGGCTGGTGATCCAGAACGCAACGTGACCCAGAACTGCTCCAGGTTGCACCCCTGGATTAGAAGCTACCAAGCTGAGGATTCCTTCTCGGTTTTTACGTGCCATCTTCTGGAATAGCGAATCTGTACCGGACTTGAAACAAATGCTTCAACAATATTTCTTTAACTTACTCGCAAACATAACATAAAAACTGGAATATAAAGAGGACAAAAGTAAGTTTTTCGTTGACAAAACCTAAACCAAAAATTCTGGTGTTAGAGTGCGATGCACTGTCAACACGCCGCTTCAACGGTGGTCACTCTTTCGTGGGTATTTTTATATGCATAGTGGATACAGCCCACTCTACAGAAGCGTCGGCGCTAGCCTAAGCCACTCACGCCTGTAGCATTCGACAAGTGATGGCTTTTCTAATGGGGAGGTCATGTGGCACGTGAACTCAGAAGCAGACCATTAAAGCCTCGTTTAATCCTTAAAGTTTGCCTATTACGTCCCACGCGTGGTAGAAGAGGTGCACTTCTTAGAAGAGGTGCAAACCTTAACATAGAAGAGGTGCAAACCTTGACTTGCCTAAATGGTCTGACAGGCGAATTCCATTCACCGAAGACTGTGGTAGGACTAAAACGTTCAGGTAAATATTAATCATAAAATGACAGGAGGACCATAATGCAGTCGCAATAATGTCGTTCATCTGTTACATGAGAGAGTGTGAGTCGACGTTCTCTGAAAACGCCAAAAACGTAGTACAGCTTGTCATAGTGACAAACTTCACCGAAATTTCGTTTTAGCGAAAGCTAAAATGAAAGGTATTGTCAGCCTTTGCAAAAGAAAAAATCTGAATCCGAACGTGATCGGCTAGTTCAAGCGTGCACTCATGGACACAATTTGTCATGCAGTAGCGCTGAAGATGCATTTTGAGTGGTGAGGCATGTCACTTTACTATTTCTTTACTGACAACCTCTGAAATAAGAAAAACTGGTTCCTTCAGTCGCTACTGGCTATCACTTTCAGCCTCCAATATAAAAAAAATTAAAAACAGTATATTGTTTCGACTTGCGCAATTGGTGCCCAAGAATAATCTGCCCCATTCTCTTATCTTCACAACTCCTTCATTGGTATAGGATGTTGCTTATCCGGGAACGAGAATCATTCTTCATCTTCAAACTTTTCTCAAAAGTACGAGAAGACAGCATTGATTCCCTGTCTGTTCGTATACTACGTCTACGGACATCACTTTTCAAGCGAAGATCGCATTTGTGAACTCATGAATCAGCCGAAAACCTCACGACTGCAGAATACGAATGCAGTATGAAGAGAGGGAGCGCCTCCCAAGGTGCAACATGCGAAAGCAACTGCTCATCTGGGAAAGCTTCTAGAACTTCAAAGGCCGTGCGGTTTTCTTATACAAGGAACCTAATTATCTCTATACCTGTTTGTCTAGTTTTCGTATTTTTGAAACATTGAGAAGAACTTCATGATGTTATTATCGAGATTGTGTCAACTATAATGCAATTAACTCTCAAAGACTAATCCACGATGATCTCAAAGATGGATAAAAAAGGCGTCCATCTGCAAACAAGCCCAAAAGGACACCAAGTCAAATTTTCGCCAGCCATGGAAAGACAACATTTACGAAAACTAAGATATCTTACAGAAGCGTAGCATTTGTATGATGCCACTTGCGCCTGGTGATTCGGAGAATATTTGTTTCCGTAATAATAGCATATTCCTATCTAATGAAAGAACTGGAGGTGTTACGAAATAATTTAATTGTAAAGGTCCTGTCTCGTTGGCACTGTTTCCCAAAATTACTGAAACAATAAATGAAAGAAGTGTTACGTTTCTAAACAATATCAAATTATAGAAATTTTAATTGCGTGAATATGTATGCAAGCGAAATGACAAAAATGCCCGTTGTCATGCCTTATAAGTTAGTTTTCTGTCTAAAGAAAAACGTAATGTTATCTGTTTTCAGGCGTGGCAGGGCCACTCTTGCCGGTTGCAACTCATTCTAGATCTCGCTACAAAAAACAACCTGTATTGCTAAAATATACGATGCCTTATCATACCTGATCCTCTACGTAACTTTCGTGTTTTGAACAGGAAGATGCGCCATATACAAAGGGATAAAGTTACATGTTTTCATTCCTAGTCTCCATATTTTACATTTTCTCATTGCAAAAAGAGCTTGTTGCTGTTCTTAGTCTCACTAGCTTTCTGGATTGTCTAACTTGTCTCACTCACTTCCTTAGTCCCACTAAATTGTGGCGCATGCCTGATTCACGTTGTTGTTCCGAGTTCACCTCCGCTTGGCATATAGGATATTGAGTCTCAGGGTACGGGAAATGATGCTGGGGAGTTGGGCAAACGAAAAACAAGCTGGTTTACTGATACTTTTTACACAACTATTTATATCATATAAGAAGTTAAGAGTTCAGCGAGCCACGAGTGTGGTGGATGAGACATTACTGCATGACCCAGAGACTTTTCCTTCACTTAACACTGTCCTTTCAACCCCTCACTTCGGCTCCTCCTTCTTCGTTGAAACCAATCATACACACCACACCACCCAGCATGGCACCAGCCGAGAACACGCTGTCGCCGATGGGTCATTGCACTCACTGACGCAATGTTCTTCCGGTCAGTGACACTCACGATACTCAATTGAGATACTCAAATGATAGATACTCCATTTGGTAATACACAAGGCTTCCATATATTTCTGGCGTTTCCTTGCTGGACTTTGCATTTATACTTGCTCAAATATTACAATTCTATCATCGAATTTCATTAGCCCGGAAGAAGTGATAAATTTACATGTACTTTAGCAACACCGGAATTCTTCTAGGCAGTTTGTTTTTTTACGGGATACTCGCGTGGCATGAGCCGAGAAGTGTCATTCAAAAACCAGTTGAGAACATTGATTTATGTAAATCGAAATCAGTATCTAAAAAAACGAACACGTACACACTACAGGACACATAACCAGGCCTCGCATAAACTCGGCACTTACGCTAATACTTAATCCATGGTTTAAAAATAGTAGCCTCTGAAGTAAGGAAATGCCGCAAACAGCAGTGCCGTGACGTCAGCACAACGTTATATCCCTCCACTACGAGTTGCTCCCGGCGTCGGCTCTAAGGGGCGTTTGCTGCTGCCGTAGCCTCTCAAATGATGGCCGCCGTTTTGCTGGCAATTCGGTAGCACCTACCACCGCATGCCCTGCCAGCGCTGTGTGTAAAGCAAACCCGGTGTGCCGGCGGGCAGGCTAGCCCGATAAAAGCAATGTCAGGCGGATATTAAAGACAAGAAAGAAAGGTTCTCGCCGCCACCAGTTGGTTTGGTGTCGCCAGCGCATTCCACAACCGCGAGCGGGCCTGCAGAGCGTATGCGCGCGATAGCGAGCCACGTATCCCAGCGTAGCTGCAGAGGCGGGGAGTGGGCGGAGGAGAGAGAAAGAACCGGTGCATCACGTTGGTATTCACGGCGTCGGTGGCCCGACGCGGAGCGTGTGTTTTTCCTGTCAGCGCTATAGCGCCACGCTCCCTTTATTTTCTCCCTTTGCGCCTATTTTTTTTGTTTATCCCGCGTTTATCTCTGTAGCAGCGGTGGCGTCAGCGATCCCGGTCGCGGCGGGACCACAGGCACGTCGATTGCGTTTTCAATTGCGCCGCCGCCCCGCCTCGTCGCCACTGGTGCTTGGGGAGAGAGCGAGAGAAGGAGCGCGAAGTATGGACGCCAACAGCCGCCGCCAACTCCGAAAATTGTTCACCGGTGGCTCGCAGCCGTCGTGGTTGCACAGCGAGCGCCGTATACGAATGCGAGCACGCACTTTTCTCTATCGGATTCGGCGCACCCATTGGAATCCCGCACGAGGAAACAAAACGCGACTCGCTTCCGAAATAAGCGAACCTAACCGCCGCGCCGGCGGTGCCGAAGAAGTGGGGGGGGAGGTGCTATACGGCCGCGCCTCTAGCACGTGCGAGGTGGGTCGAGATCGATGGCAGCGTTTCTCTGGCAGCTACGCATGCAGCTGCGTGACACAGCCGTACCGGCGGTCGTCGCCGCGCTGGGACTGCTTCGCTCGCAGTTTTGTGGTCACGCGCACTTCTTCTTTGCGATGGGTAAATGCAATACAGCTGTGTGCTCGCCTTTCATGAGGCACGCGCACATTGCTCCCCCCTTGCTAAGCGCGAGGCTGCAACACGCGAGCCAGCGCAAGTGCACGTGTTCTCGAACAACCGAGTTTGTGCCCAAATTATTTGATTGATAGTGTAGGGTTTAACACCCCAAAACCACCATATGATTACGAGAGACGCCGTAGTGGAGGGCTCCGGGAATGTCGACCATTCGGGGTTCTTTAACATGCACCCAAATCTGAGCACACGGACCTAACACTTTTCCGCCTCCATCGGAAGCAGCTGCCGCAGCCGGGATTTGAACCCGCGACCTGCGGTTCAGCAGCCGAGTACCTTAGCCACTATACCAACGCGGCGAGGCTTAAGGGTTCCTTTAAAGTTAGCTCGTGTGCTAAGTCCTGCTTATTCGACCTCGTCCCATTCCAACGTTAAACAATTGTTATTATAAGTAAAATGTTCAAAGGTGGACGTCGCAACGCTGCACGAATATTTTACATCATGAAGTACACCAC